AAAAAAAAAAAAAAAAGAAAATGAAAGGCTTCCATGTCCCTACACCCTGAAGATTATTATTAATGATGTGTATTGTTTCAGATTTTTTATAAGTATATATTCACATATTACTATTTATTATTATAAAAATAGAAGCATACTCTACATCCTGTTTTGCAACTTATTTTTCCCCACAGACATTTTTCCATACACACACAGCTACCTGAATTTTTTCTTTCTTTTTAGGCAGTGTTTCATTCTGTCACCCAGGCTGGAGTGCAGCTGCATCGTCATAGCTCACTGCAGGCTCAAGGGATTCTCGTCACTCAGGCTGGAGTGCAATGACGCGATCTGAGCTCACTGCAACGTCCACCTCCTGGGTTCAAGCAATTCTCCTGCCTCAGCCTCCTAAGTAGCTGGAATTACGGGCACCTACCACCGTGCCCAGCTAGTTTTAGTATTTTTTAGTAGAGACCAGGTTTCACCATGTTGTTCCAGGCTGGTCACGAACTCCTGACCTCAGGCAGTCTGCCTGTCTCGGCCTCCCAAAGTGCTGGGATTACAGGCGTGAGCCACTACACCCAGCCAATTTTCTTTAATTTTATTTTTTGTCTCACTATGTTTCCTAGACTGGTCTTAAACTCCTGGCCTTAAGCAATCTTCCTGTCTCAGTCTCCCGAAGTTCTGATTACAGGCATGAGTCACTGTACCTGGCCTTAACTGTTCTTTTTTAATGGTTATAAACAATTCCATTGAATCAGTGCTGTAACTTATTTAACAATCCTGTATGGACAACAAGTGTTTAGGTTGCTTATAGTGTTCTGATGTTACCAAAGTTTTGGCAATAAACATTCTCATATAGCTATCTCTGCATATCTGTGGAAGTTTTTTTTTTTTTTTTTTAGAAGTGAGATTGTTGGGGCTAAGACTACATATTTTATATGGTAATAACTACTACCAAAAAGAGTTGTACTAAGCTAGATTACCACAAAAGTGTATAATAATCTGTTCCCCACACTCATAACTGGGTGTTGTCAATCTTTACCTTTGCCAGTCTGATGGGTGAAAAATGTTACTTTGTTTCAGTTTGATTTTTATTAGTGAGTTTGAGCATCTTGTCAAGTTTTGCTGGTTCTCTGTAATAATTTTTACATGAACTACCTATTAATGTCCCTTACCAATTTTTTTGTTTTTGAGTCTCACTTTGTCGCCCAGGCTGGAGTGCAGTGGATAATCTTGGCTCACTGCAACCTCCATCTCCTGGTTCAAGCAATTCTCCTGACTCAGCCTCCCAAGTAGCTAGGATTACAGGCGCCTGCCACCCACACCTGGCTAATTTTTGTATTTTTAGTAGAGACTGTATTTTTGTATTTTTACCATGTTGGTCAAGCTGGTCTCGAACTCTTTACCTCAAATGATCCACCTGCCCCAGCCTCCCAAAGTGCTGGGATTACAGGCATGAGCCACCGTGCCCTGCCAATTTTTTTAAGTTATTTTGTCTTTTCCTTAGTGACTTATGTGAGCCTTCTTTTATCCTTTCTTATATATGTTGCAAGTATTTTGTTCTTAAGTTTCTGCTTTAACTTTGATTTCAGGGATGACATATTCTAACAAATAAGGGTTTTGCTCTGTATTTCTGGGGTTATAAAACTTGTCCTACAGGCCAGGAATGTTGGCTCATGCCTGTAATCCTAGCACCTTGGCAAGGCCAAGGTGGGAGGATTGCTTGAGGCCAGGAATTTAAGACCAGCCTGGGCAACGAGGTAAGACACTGTCTCTACAAAAAATTCAAAATTAGCCAGGCATGGTGTCACACGCCTGTGCTACTCAGGGCTGAAGTGGGAGGACTGCTTGAGCCCAGGGCTTCAAGGCTGCTGTGAGCTGTAATCGCACCACTGTACTCCAGCCTAGGAGACAGAGTGAGACTCTGTCTCAAATAAATAAATGTTAAAAAAAAAAAAATCCTGGCTGGGCGTGGTGGCTCACGCCTGTAATTCCAGCACTTTGGGAGGCCAAGGTGGGCGGATCACCTGAGGTCATGAGTTTGAGGCCAGCCTGGCCAACATGGAGAAACCCCATCTCTACTAAAAATACAAAATTAGCCAGGCATGGTGACGCATGCCTGTAATCCCAGCTACTCAAGAGGCTGAGGCAGGAGAGTCGCTTGAACCTGGGAGGCAGAGGTTGCAGGAAGCCAAGATCATGCCATTACACTCCAGCCTGCAAAACAAAAGTGAAACTCCGTCTCAAAAAAAAAAAAAGAAACTTAAATAAACAAGCAAAAAACAAAAACAAAAATGAAGACCTGTAACAAACAAATCAGGCCTGGCAAGGTGGCTCAGGCCTGTAATCCCAGCATTTTGCGAGGCCAAGCCAGGGGGATCATGGGGTCAGGAGTTCACAACCAGCCTGACCAACATGGTGAAACTCCATCTCTACTAAAAATACAAAAATTAGCCGGGTGTGGTGGCGCGCACCTACTAAATAGTCCCAGCTACTTAGGAGGCTGAGGTAGGAGAATCACTTGAACTGGGGAGGCAGAGGTTACAGTGAGCCGAAATCATGCCACTTCACTCCAGCTTGGCAACAGAACAAAACTCCAATTAAAAAAAATAAAATTCTACAAGAGATCCTTATTCAGAGAATTGTCAGGGATCTTAGGACTGATCTGTGAAGGATATACTGCCTCCCCTGCAATGGAGTTATAACTGAACCTATTCCCCAAGAAAACTAGTGAGAGGAACCAGGTACTCTTCTTGCAGTTAGGCGGCTGAAAAGGAATCATCTAATATCCCATGCTATTGACCATCTGTAGCCTTACAGAGCAATGAACAGGTAAATGTTGACCCAATATAAGAAGCAGCAACTTGAAACTTCAGAGAGGGAGTAAAGGGATATACCACCAGATCCAATCTTTGATGGTTAACCTAGGTTATGTACTTTTCTTGTTAATCAAGTTACAGATACAGCTTGTCTCATAAGGAGTGGAAATATTCTCTGGACAGCACTCACCAAAAAACAGGCGAATTACTTCAATTCCAAGGTAAAGGAGGAGCATCACCACATCCAGTGCTAGGTTAGCTGTTGGATATGGTAGCAGGAGACCTGCCAATACAAAAGCCAGAGTTTGCAAACAACAGATAACGGCACCCACAAGAACTGCCACACACCTGGGAAGAAAGAGGACATCTGTCTCAGCTTTCCATGAACTAGCTGGTAGGAGGTGGGCATTATTACAGTTGCGGGATACACAAACTCACAGTGCAACTCCGGTTCATTATTACCGCGTTTTACCCCTAACTCCGAAAGTCTCTGGGGACTCCACTCTCCAAAATGATTGGATGTACAGGGGTACACAGGCCACTTAACAGTTTCTGAGCGTCACCAACGGGCTTACAGCGGAGCTCGGCAAAGAGCGGCAATGTGGGCGGAGTCAGAACGGAAAAGCCCCCATTTCCCAAACTCAAGAAATTCTTGCTGAGGGGCTGCCTGTGGAATCATACTCAAATAAGCCATCTGTTGAGGAGGCCTGCCTTGCAGCGACAAAGAACTGCAGAGGGCAAAGAAGAGCAGAAAATAAGGTTCTTGGCAGGAGATGGCTCTGAGCTGAAGTGGGGGAAGGATGCTGTCGTCCAAGCCCCAAGCCTTCCTTACCTTTATACAGAAACATGAAAAGTTCCAGCAGGAAATAGGTAGCATTATACCACCCGTTCAGAAAGAATAGGATTTCCAGGGGGGTCGAGGACAACCGTTTCCCTGAAAAAGGAGCACAGAGAAGTGGGATGGGCAGGAGGGCGGCTCCCTCTCGGCTCCTCGAATGGGTTGGTATCTACCTTGGGGAAAACTAGGGGCAGCGGACTCATGGGACCGGCCACTTAGGGGCACATCTGGTTGCTGATAATGAGGGGGGCGAGGGTACGGGGGTGAGTGTGGAGGGGGCTTCCCTCTTCGGCTTCAGGGGTACAAGTCAAGAGGTAACTCGCAGCTGACAGACATCTCAAAGATCTCTCCCTGTCACTATTTGGGAGGGGAAGTTGGGGCGCGGAGACCCACATATTCGTACCTGAGCCAGCCTAGAAGAGGCCCAGCCGAGGATGTGTAGCTATCTGAGCCCCGCACCCGGAGACCTTCAGGTACCCAGGCTGGGCGGGGCCGCGGAAGCCCGCTTTGGACCAGGGAGGCGCCAAGTCCCTAACGCTAGAGAAAGGAGGGTTTAGGTCAAGCTCTGGGACAGAGGTGGGAGGGAGGGGCCAAGGGAAAGGGACCAGCGACTCACACACCTCCGGAACCTCACCTCGGGGCGCCATCTTCAGTCCCCATGGAAACTGCGTACGCTGCCACGGCGGCTCCAGGAGCAGCGAGGCGCTGCCGGAAACGGGGACGGAGCGGCCTGGGCTTCCGGGCTCCTCGACCGCCCGCGGCGCTCTGTGCCCCACCCGGGCGGGAAGAGCCCGGGCCTGGCGCCGAGTGGCTATCGCTCATTGTCCCCGTTCCAGACCCAAGACGGTGGCCGCCCACGACGCCGTCGTCTGCAGGACCTCGGGGGTGTGGGGGAGGACCCCAGAGGCTCTCGGGCTACCGGGCGTTGGGCGGAAGTGGCCAGTTGTGACAATGTGACCAGGAGATTGGCAAATAAGTCCTAGACCCACCATTCCCTTTTTTCATAGGAAACGGTGTGCGCGACGGATCTTTCCAAATGCGGGGTGGGGGGTAGCATTGGTTTTTTTCTTTTTTTTTTTTTTTTTTTTTTTTTT